CGCGGCCACCAGGCGGTAGCGCAGCCGCGCGTTCTCGCCCGCGTCGGCGTCCACCGCCTGGATGTGCAGCACCGAGTGGCCGAGCGGCACGTTCTCCAGCACGGCCGCCTGGAAGGGGCTGCTCACGAAGATCGGGGCGTTGTCGTTCACGTCCAGCACCTGCACCGAGACCAGCCCCGAGGCGTTGATGAGCGGCGGCCGGCCGCCGTCCTGCGCCTTGACGCGCAGCGTGTACTCGCGCACGGCCTCGAAGTCCAGCGGGTTGATCACGTCCAGGCTCCCGCTGAGCGAGTGCAGGTGGAACTGCCCCTTGAGGTTCCCGCTGACGATGCTGTAGTGGATGGCCGCGTTCTGGCCCTGGTCCCGGTCCGTGGCGTGCACGCGCAGCACGGGCGTGTTGACCGCCACGTCCTCGGACACCCGCACCACGTAGCGCTTCTCGCTGAACTGGGGGTAGTTGTCGTTCTCGTCCTCCACCGCGATGTGCACCGTGACCGTGGCGCTGAGCGGGCCCGGGTTGCGGCCCTGGTCGCTGGCCTCCACCAGCAGCCGGTGCGCGCCCGCCTCCTCGCGGTCCACCGCGGCGCGCGTGCGCACCACGCCCGAGCGCGCGTCGATCTCGAAGACGCCGCCCGCACCCTCCAGCAGGCGGTAGCGCATGTCGGCGTTGGAGGGCGCGTCCCCGTCGGTGGCGCGGATGGTCAGCACCTCGTAGCCCACCTCCAGGTTCTCGCGCACGCGCTCGCGGTACTCCGACTGCTCGAACACGGGGCTGTGGTCGTTGGTGTCGCCCACTGTGACGGTGAGGTAGGTGGCCGCCGAGCGCCGCGGCGACCCGTGGTCCACGGCGCTCACCTTGAGCACGTGCGTGTCCTTGGTCTCCCGGTCCAGCTCGCGGGCCGTGGTCACCGCGCCCGTGGCAGGGTCGATGAGGAAGTACCCATTGGACCGCTCGTCGAACAAGGCCTCCATCTGGTAACGGAGGCGCCCGGCCTCGCCCTCGTCTGGGTCCAGCGCCCTCAGCTCGATGACGGCGGTGCCCGGGGGCTCGTTCTCGGGCACTGATACCTGGTAGCTGGGTAGCGGGAACTGCGGGCTCGTGCTGCCGCCGCCGCCGCCGCCGCCGGCGCCCCGGCGGGCCCGCCTGGGCGACCCTGCCCCTTCCGGAGGCAGGGCGGGCGACAGTGTCCACTGAGGCGGGGAGAGCGCCTCCGCGGCCGCCTCCAACGCCAGCTCCACCCGGATGGTGCCGGCCGCGCGCCTCAGGGCGCACAGCAGGCTCAGGCGGGCCGAAGCACCCGGCGTCAGGCAGACGGGGCGGCGTGGACAGCGCGACGCGGAAGGTGTGGGGCACCTGCAGAGCGGGAAGGTGGTCAGGGCGGCGAGGGCCGAGTGC